AGTGTGGCTTTAAATGGGCACTTGCTGCCACCTCTACCACTATCATCACCACTACCTTGACTGCCACCGTGAGCAATAGCAGCTATCATTTATTAAGCCATTGTTGCATACCAAGAGATTTACTCACCTAACCTTACTTAATCAGCCTTCAAACTTAATGAGGTGGGTATTATTCCTCCTGGTTTACAGGTGAAGAAATGGGTTTAGAGTTGCCAAGTGGCTTGCCTACTGTTGTTACCCAGCTGGGAATACCTGTCTCACTCTAACCACCGTGCTGTATAGTCTCCCCGAGTTCTTTCCCCCATATTTGTGAATTGGGGATAATGCTTGTACTTTATACACCTAGAATAGCACTATTCAAATTATAGGTCATGGCACATTAGTGGGTTGTGAAATCAATTTAGTAAGTTAAAAAAAAAAAAGGATAGAAAATATCAGAATTCATCACACTTACTGTTCCTGAAACTTTTTTTTCTGGTGTGTCTGTGTGTGTGTCTATGTATGTATATATGTACATATGCATGCTACATGGGAAATGGTGCATGGGAAAATATATTTTATGGGGGAACATATATGGGAAAATATGTTACATGGGAAAATACATTTCCTACCAGGGTCATTGTCAGAAAGTTTGAGAGCTGTTGTTCTAGAGTTATGAAGGTCACATAAACATATAAATAAAATTGTGGCAAAGCTCCTTTTGTAAATTCTAAAACGCCTTATAAGTCTCAGTTTTCATTATTATTTAACACTAGAAGCTGAAGCGAACAAATCAAGGCTGGTGGATGAGTGTGGCTGTGCTGTTCCTCAACCCATGCCATCCATCGCAGATAGTGCTCATCTGTCACCACAGTGCATCCCATGGAACCAGAACTCAGCTGTGACACTCGTGGACACAGCACTCCAGACCTCAAGATGAAACATAGTTGCAAACCCAGCAGTAGGCGAATGCATCGTGGGTGTCCATCAGGACCACTTTGTGGCTTAGCACTTGCAGAACTCTGGCTCTCATGTAAACCTAGGAAAACAGATGCCATCCCTATGACAGCATGGGGTTCTCTGCATTACTGCCCCCAAAGGGGTGGCTGCTGTCTGCTCCCCTCATAACACTCCTCCCGCCCCCTCATCTGGAAGTGATTTACTTCCTTCTGCTTCTTAAAGGGAGTCAGGCCCAGCCAAAATCCTCATCCATTTCCCCTTGAAACAAAAGTGGCAGGAGGCCCTTCCTGCCAAGGCCATTTTCTTTGGAACCTGCTCTTTCCTCATTAATTGCAATTCATGAGGGAAGTGCAGGAAACATGGGGTGCAAATCCCCCAACAACTGCCCTGAAGGCATGCCCCACCCCCTCACGGGGTGTACTGCTTCTCAGACGATAGAGCAAACTCTAAATGGTCACAAAAGGACCACAGTCTCCCCCAAGTTGCGATTATATGGGGACATGTTTCCCTGCAACCTCCAAAGGAAGCCTGTAGAATTGGCGTTTCTCTCAGAAGATACCACAAAAGAGTCCGTGTGGACCTAGGGACCTGAGAGGCACGTCAGAGTCTCCTTCGGTGGAATGTGCAAGGCCCAGGAAACTTGTGTGTGTATGGATTTTAAGCAAGACTCAACATGACATTCTGGGCTGTGTGAGAAAGTACTCAAGCAGCTCAATTACCAACCCCGGAGTCAGACTCGCGGTGTTTTTATAGACCTTGCTAATGAGAGAGTCTCGTGGCCTCTGCTGGACTGGGCTTCTCAGCGCCCTGCCAGCCTGCCTCCCACACATCTGTACATTAGTCAAGCCATAATGGATGGCTGGTGCCAGCAGAGGCTGAGGCCTAGGCCTTCCTCTCCGGGATACATAGAGATCTCAAGTCATTAATAATTCACTCCCGAGTAATGAACATTGCTGTGCCGCGTTGTGAGCAGTAATAATCAAGTGACAGATCAATTTATTACTTCACTGTACCCGAAAGATAATGGTAGTTAGTCATGAAAGGTGCGGCTTCCACCCCCCCCCCAAAGTTTCATAAGACTGAGATCGATGTGTTTTTTAAGTTCTAAAATAAAATGGATCATTACTAAGGAAATGAATTATGTTGGGTAGCCTCAAGCCTATTTATATTCAGAGCTGCTTATCCAGAATTAGTGTACCCTTCTTTCCCCAAATGCCTTTGGGCACTGGGGCCTGCAGATCTGATTAATAATCTAATTATTATAATCATTAATTAAATCGGAGAAATGGAACACAGCTCCCGACTTTGAAAAGGGAGGTTGGGATGGTTGAAATACATTCCAGAAAAGTCATCACGAATGATTTGATGTTTATGAGCAGATATCTGCGTTGAGAATCATTTTTATGTCGACTGAGAAGCGTCCATCACTTTTTCACACCTCAGTGAACATTGCTGTGCTTCTTCTGGGCCAGGCGTTATCTTAGCGCTGGTGGTACTGCCTAAAAGAAGCACAGTCTATATCCTAAGGCAGCAGTAGAGATGTTAATCACATGTATAATAATAGATGCAGGGGCAGGCCAGCACTTCTGCCTTCAGCGAGGGGTGGAGGATTGAGGAAAGGCCAGACCGAGGCTGCAGAAAGGAAGGGAGCCATTGGAGCTGAGCCTTGCAGATCAACAGTTTGCCAGGCAAAGAAAAATGAGGAATAGCATTCTAGGCAGAGGAATGGCAAAAGGCAGATAGTTGTGAAAGTAGAAAGAAAATGGGTAGTAAATCATTATAATCATTATTACATTTACCATGCATTATCACATTTAAACCACATAAGAACCTCATGAGATCGGTATATTATTCACCACCACCATGACCACCTTTTTTAAGATGAGAAACAAAGCTTAGATGTATTGAGTCACTTGTCCAGACACCCAGAGCTGGGAGGTGGCAGAGGTGAGCTGGGAAAAGGCGTGCTATTTCATAAGCTTCGGTTTTATATTAAAACCAGTAGAGCCCACCAAGGGTTTATAATCATTGTCAACACAAACAGTGAAGCATTGCTAAACACTCTACACGTTACATACACTGTGGCGTTGTGTTCCCTCCCACCAACTCGGTGAGGTGTGAGGCCATCGGAGCTTTCAGCAGGAATGAGGAGAGCTGAGTTTGGACAGTGCCTGGTGATGGCGGGCAGGATACAGCTTAACCTAGAGATTCTAGTCATGGAGCCTCGTTTAGGAAGCTATTGCTTGAGTCAGAGGTAGTGTTGAGAAGCATGGTGGCGAAACATGATCATCATCCAAACCATATATTTTTATATCGGTCTGCAACTTAAAAGTGCTTTCATACATAAATAGCCTGTTGGTTCATTTGCACAAGGGACTTTTGTGACAAGACTGGGTAAGCCGATTGACTTAGCTCATTTGGGAGGGGAAATATAAGGGCATGGAATTCACTTCCTGCACATAGGAGCTGATTGATGTTGAAAGTAGTGGTGTTACAAGCAGCTTGTTAAATATGCATACTTGCTGATTGACTGAAGCACAGAACCAAAGTCCCCCCCCCCCTCTTTGCCAGGTAAGAACTTGACCATCTGTGTTAAGGCTTTCAGACTAGAAACGTGATGCCGTTCTGGGCGGAATGGAAAACTACAGGGACACAAAAAGATGTCTGTAAAATAGTCTTCTGTGGACCAGAAACAGGCCAGGATATGAGTGGCAACTTCTTTGCTGCAGGTGTCGCCTAGCAATCAAAAACCAACTTGTCTTCCTATTTGGGCTGCTCCACAGTTAAAGTTTCATAGGCATAAGCACCCCAACCCCAGGCCCCTTTCAGAGGAGGAAGTTTTTATGAAATTACTTTTAGCCCTAAAAATCATAGCAAAGTACACATCTGCTGATAAAATTGGTTGATACAGTATTTCAGTAAAGGCTCAGTTTCAGAACCAACACTTAAGTCAGTAGAACCTCTTTTCCTCCTACAAAATAGAAGTACACAAGAGAAACAGTGCAGGCATTTACCAAATTGTGTGGAAAAAAAATACTCAGTATAAATAGCACTAAAGGCAAGGGAGGTATGTCTGCACAAACTGACATCTCTGCCCAATTTCCCTCTAGTTTCTTGTAATGAGTAGTTTCCTTCTTCTAACAGGTGATTTAGGGAAGCCCCTAATATTTTCTTAACAGTACTGAATGGCCTTAACTTTTAAATTATTTGTCATCAATAGGCCATTGGTATATTTTTATGTGCCTGGCCAGCAAGTGAACAATTAAGTTTTATGACTAGGTCATGGTGGGTTTAGATATATGTTTTAAGGAGTTGTTTGTCCCAAAATATGAATATGTGTTGAGCAAATTACTCAGACCTAGCTCCTGCTGACCCTGTGTGTTCCCTAGACTTTGAATCTAAATGACAGTGTAAACATAGCCATATCCACGGATCTACAGTCGTGCGTTTTTATTTCTGTTTATGCCACATTTTCACTTTATGTGAGCCACATGTTTAATGTGATGGAGCTTTAATACTTTGAGCCTAAAGTGCTGAATTTCCTGACTTGGTTTGAAATATCCAGATCTACCCATTTTAAAAATTAGGTCTATTTGGTGCCTCCCTTTACAAATGTATTAACGCTGTCAAGAGCTTTTATATTTGAGCTAGAGAAAATGCTAATGATCACAGTGGTTGAAGCAACCGCTGAGTATAGATGTTGTAACTATGCGGGATTAGCAGTTACCTGGATTTGCAGAACAGGGATTCAGATATGCAAAGGTTCACATTTAGGAAGGCAGCTGCTTTGGTTGTTTGGTCATTTTAGGCACAAATGGAAATGGTAAGGGGTGTCAGATCCTGAAATAGCTAAATAGCCTGAGCACTGAAGGTTTCTGAAGCTTTGATAGATGAAAATGTGAGTAGACAAGTCTCTCTTTGAACTCCAAGGGCATCAGAAAGTGTCCCAAGGTCTGACTCCTACTAGGTGAGGGGTCTAAAAATAGGAAAGACAGAGGGAAGTCAGCTGTCCATTTGCCTATGGTGTCTCTCATCGGTGCCTTTTGTTTCCTTTCCCCCAGTGTTGCTAACAACCACAAGCAGAATTTGATGACAGTGGCAAACCTTGGCGTGGTGTTTGGACCCACCCTGCTGCGGCCTCAGGAAGAAACAGTAGCGGCCATCATGGATATCAAATTTCAGAACATTGTCATTGAGATCCTGATAGAAAACCATGAAAAGGTAATATATGTATAATTGGTCACTGTGAGTGAAGAATTTATCTTGGGAGCAGCTGAATTGGAACTGGCACTCAGGGTTGGCTGGGTTTGCATTGCTAAGGCCAATTGTGATGATGACGAAGAGGTTACTGATAATGGTGGTGATGGCAGTGACCATAATCATCTCATGATGGCAGTGGTGGCAACAATGGTGGTTATGGGGGCAATAGCAGTGGGCCACATTTGTTACTTATTTTCTACCAGGAACTGTGCTAAGTGTTTTATATATGTTGTCTTTTTATCTTCACAACAATGCTATGGAGAAGGTACTGTTATAAGCCTCATTTTGAAAATGCCCTTTGCCCATTTTTGTACTTGGTTGCCCTCTTATGACTTTGTAAGAGTTTTCTTTTTATATTAGGGATATTAAACTATTTTCATTTGTGTGGCAAATATTTTTCCTAATCTGTAGTTTGTCTTTCAGTTTTATAAATGGTCTCTCTCTCTCTCCCTCTCTCTCTCTCTCTCTCTCTCTCTCTCTCGTTCTGGCTTTTCCTTCAGAGCATTGGAGTTTCTGATCTTTCTTAAGAAGATTTCCCTTACACACATAATGAAGTATTTCAACACAGAGGTGCCCACAAAACTGGGGGGAGGAGACATGAAGCTTCACCCACCTGTCCCATCCCAGCTCCTGGTAGCAAATCCCTATGAAGCTTCTCAGAAGCTCAGGGTCGCCTAGGGCGGCACCGTTTGGCAGCCACAGCACTGGGATCAAATAAAAAATGCTGCTCCTCCTAAATGAAAATTACCTAGAATGGTGAATTAGTTGTGCTATATAACCTGCAAAATAAATCGAGACCACTTCTCACCACCTGTACTGATGATAACACTCTAACGTAAGCTACCATCATCTCTTGTCTGGATTTTTATAAGAGCCTCCTAATTTGTTTCCCCACTTCCACTCTTGGCCCGTCTGTCCTGATATCAGCCACCAGAGTGAGATCTTTTAAAATGTCACATTTTAAAGTCAGATCACATCAGTTTCCTGTTAGGGATGATTCAGTGGCCTCCCGCTTTTGCTGAGTGAAAGTTAGAGCCCTCACAAGAGCCCAGAAGGTCCCACATTTTTTTACTTAGTTGCCGTTTTTCACATACGGCACCCATTCCCACCTCAAGGCCTTTGCAGTTGCTGTTCCCAGTGCCTGGAACACTGTCCCTCCATATACCTACACGACATGCTTCCTCGCCTCTTTGAAGCCTTCTCAGTGAGGCCTACCTAGATCTGTCTATTTAAAACTGCAAATAGAGGCGGGGGCGGGGCCTGGGGACCACTGCACGGATGTGGGCTGGCATGTCTGCTCTGACGCGGCTGGCGCGTTTTCGCGGTGGAGGCCGCCTCTTCAGAGGCCTCTGCGCCCGCGAGGCTGGAGGCGGAGGAGTCCGTCATGCTGGTGGCGGTGTGCACATTGGGCCCCGGTACCGACAGTTCCCCCAGCTCACCAGGTCCCAGGTGATCCAGGCCGAGTTCTTCAGCGGAACCATGTGGTTCTGGATCCTCTGGCGCTTCTGGCATGACTCGGATGCTGTGCTGGTGCGTGTGGAACATTCTCTTTTCTGGGGGTGGGGGGAGGGAGAAATAGTAATTGTTTAGCTTTTTTTTTTTTTTTTTGTCTGTTTGTGGACTGTTTTTCTATCTGGATACAGTAGTCCCCTCCCTTACCCGTGGTTTTACTTTCCTCGGTTTTAGTTATACGGGTTAACCTTGGTCCAAAAATATTAAATGGAGAATTCCAGAAATAAACAGTTCATGTGTTTTAAATTGTGCACCATTCTGAGTAGTGTGATGAAATCTCACACTGTCTCGCTCCATATCAGCCGGGATGTGAACCATCCCTTTGTCCAGCGTCTCCACGCTGTATATATACACTTCCTGTCTGTTAATCACTTAGCAGCCATCTTGGTTATCAGAGCGACTGTCAGAGTATCACAGTGCTTGTGTTCAAGTCACCACTATTTTACTTAATAACAGCCCCAAAATGCAAGAGTAGTGATGCTGGCAATTGGGATATGCCACAGAGAAGCTGTAAAGTGCTTCCTTTAAGTGAAAAGGTATGTACGAGTATGTATAGGAAAAAGGGTATTTGTAGGGATTAGTAGTAGCCTTAATTTTAGCCATCCACTAGGGGACTTGAAACCTATCCCACATGGACAAGGGGGGACAACTGTTATGTCCCTTCACCATGTTGTCCTGTGTGTGTGCAGGAATCCTGTAGGTAATGAAACTTACTATGTCTCACCTTTCGAACTCAAGGATGCACATGGAGGTGGTCCATGTCTTAACGTTTCTGTTAGTTTGCCATATTTGGAGGGAGACTAGAAACTAATCCTTCTCCTTCTGAACTAGGTGTTCATTGGTGGGTTAAGTTTTACACTTAAATCCTTTAAGTGATGAATGTCATCTAGTCTGTCCAGAAGTCCAAGGCAGCCAGGTTGGGGTGGGACAGACATGGGCTAATTTGTTGTGAGGAGGGAAGTTAGTTACTGGTGACTTTCTAACACATCATTAGCCTCAACTGAGCTTTTATCACATTTGTACAGACCCTGTTCTCTAGTAGGAGATGACGGCGTTAAGCCACTAAAATCTGTGCCTGTTGATGCAGAATACCTTGAATTTTAGTAAATTTGGTTTTGTTTTTAGGGTAGGAAAAACATGTTACATTTAAACAGCGTACCAGCTTTAGAAGCATCAGGTTGATCAATAGCCCGTTTCTCTAAGAACTTCTCTGTGCCCTTGTTGCCCAGTAAGGAGCTGGCAGCATGGAGACACCTATCTCACTGTAGGTCAGCTGAGACGATAGTGCAGCCTTAGGTCAGGGTCGAAGATGAATGAGGCCACCTGATGCTCCTAGATCTCCCAGCAGGAATGACAGGACAATTTGAGACAAGTCATTGTGTTTTGCCAGGGCTTCACGACATTGTTGAGATGTGGGGTATCTTTGATATCTCTTGCCTCCATCCCTGCTGCCCTCCATCACAAACACATTCTCAAATCCTGGCTCAGGTTGGGAACTTTAGAACAGGCAGGCTTTTCAAGTGCAGGCCACAGCTTACGTTGAGCAGACTGAAGAACAGTTGGACCATCAAGTAGTTGAAGTAGTAGAATTTGTTACTGTGGTATGTCAAGGGCCGTGTATATGAGTCTTATGACATTTTTTTTTCCTGTTCCAACATTTCTTTTTAAATGTGATTGTGTGGAGTATAGATTCTTGACTTTTTTTTTTTTTTTTAATGATGTCACCAGGGTCACTTTTCATATCCAGATCCTTCCCAGTGGACTGATGAAGAATTAGGTATCCTTCCTGATGATGAGGACTGAAAGTGCAGACTCAACTCTTTACAAGAACCAGATGAGACTGTCAAGACATTATGCACTTCACATTGTATATTAAAGTTGTAAATTAAAGTTTTGGTCGAGAATGAGAAAAAACACACACACACAAAAAAAACAACTGCAAATAGCCCCAACCTCCAGCATGGCCCCTCCCCTTGACCCTGCTTTCTCTCTCTCCATAGCACTTACCACTTTCTAGCATATTACATAATGTACTTACTGATCAGCTCTATTGCCTTTTTTACCTCCACTAGAGTTTATGCTTCACGAAAGCAGGGAGTTTTGTCTGTTTTGTTCACTGCTTTGTTCCCAGTGCTTATGTGTTGGGTGAGTGAATGGGCTGTGGTGATAGCTCGCCTCCAGAATGGCTCTCTGTGACGCTTGTCTCCTGGTGTTCCCTCCCTTGTGGAGTCCACGCCAACTGTGAATGAGGGGTCCCAATATTGATCCCAGTGTGGTCAGTAGGATATTACAAAAGAAACTAGTCATTAAAGACTTTGTAGCACTTGCCTTGATTTCTGGACTTGCTCACTCTGGGGGAAGCAAGGCACCATGTTGTGAGGGCAACCCCACAGCCCCGTGGGGAGGGAGTGAGGCTTCCTGCCAGCGGCCACACCAACTTGCTAGCCATGTGAGTGAGCTGCTTTGGAAGTGAATCTCCCAGCCCTGGTCAGGCCTTCAGATGATGCAGCCCCACCTGCCACCTTGAGTACAGCCTCATAAGGGACCCTGAGTCCGAGCCACAGAAACAGGGAGAACTAATATGTTCTAAGCCATTAGGTTTTGAGGGTATGCTGTGACGGGGCATTAATAACTACTAAAGAACCTCGGAATATAAACTTTCACAGAGTAACAGAGGTATCCTGTAAAGGTGTCTAAGCAGTATGGCCTCCCTCTTACGTGGTTAATAAAGAGATATAGAAATCAAATTATTTATTTGAAGAAATTACCTTCTCTCTTTATCTTAAATTTTGGCCCTCCTTCCAACCACCTTCCTCAAATACAGTGCATCAGGTATAGGAGAAGTTCATTATGTATGCTAAAAATGAACTTGTGAAAAGGGGATATAATTGAATAGCAGTTAATAACATGATTTCTAAAAACAAACCACTTCAATTCCAATCTGCTACCCTTCTTACTAGCTGTGTGACCTTCAGCAGATTACTTAGCCTCTCTATGCTCATAAAAGTACTTTCAGTATAGACTAACAACTGTAACAAACAACCCCAAAATATCAGTGACACAGATAATAGACGTTTATCTCTTGGTCACATAACAGTTCACCGTGGGTATTGGAGGGTGGCATCCTGTGCCGCGATTGAGCCACCCAGGTTCCCCCGATCTTGTAGCTCTGCCTTCTGCTCTGCAGAGCTCTGCGATCAAACAGTTGGTGGAGGAAATGAGAGAGCAGAGAAGACTGGTTAAGACTGTATGGGCCAAGCCCAGAGATGCTTTCCTTATGTTCTTCCACATCCTATTGGCCAGAACTTAGTCACATGGCCACATTTAACTGCAAGGGAGGCTGAAAAAAGCAACTTATGTGTTCAGAGGAAAGGGAAGCAAGTTTGGTGACCAACTAGCCACCCTGTCACATTCCTTCAGTTGGTTTGTTGTGAAGATTAAATGAGGTG